TCACAATTTGTACAGTGTCCCACCTTTTTTGGAATCGGGTTTGTAAAATAATAATATCAAAATTATTATTATTATTTAAAAAAAAACAATAAAACACTTTAATACTGATTTAGCGCTAAGTTAGAGCATCTGTAGCAGATAACATTTTACCTAATATAAACAACAACACATAGCATGTCCCCCATTTATTATGCCCAAATGTACACTTTTCCACTAGATGGCAGCTATGAACAATGGAAAGAGTGAAACTTAGATCGAAACTTCAGATACGGCTGTCTTAAAGGAGTTCAGAAAACAGGTTGAACGTTTTACTCTTGTAAACACAGACAGCTCTTACAGCAACCAGAATAACTTAACACACAGAAACGTGTGTCAAACAATAATCTGTAATAATAGTAATATCCGCAGAGAGCAAGTTGCTCCACTCTGTTCTGTGTGAAGCTGGGTCAGCCGTATGTTGAAGCTTAAATATCTGAACAGCATTTTTCAAAGGCTTAAATATAGACTGAAGACCTACTTTAACTCTGGCCTAGTTCAAACTATCACATGCACAAGCATGTGGGCACACAGTCACACTTACATAAGCATTATTACATCAATGCAAAGATGTTGTATTTTACAGATGAAATTAGATATATTATTTTCGAAGTTGACCAATATGGCCTTTTTAATGGGCATTTTTCCAGTTGTCTGTTACCTCCATGTCTCCAGTGTTCCCTCCAGTGTCCCCACGACTGCCCCCGTTGTCTCGTGAGCGTGGTGGTTTCCAGGTCCTCTCCTGAGTCATGCGGTTGTAGTAGAAGTTTCTTCCACTCATATCTTTGTGCGTTTCCCAGTCGCCCAGGATATGAAGAGGGGAGGAAGAGGGAACAGGTGGGAGAGACGACTGAGAGATCTTTAACTCCTGGAGGTTGGTGTAAACGGGGGACTCGGGTCGACACTGTCCGGTGGGTGATATGCCCTGTAGACAAGATAGAGGAAGAGAGGCAAGACGGGAAAATTATGTAATTAAAAAAAAACAAAAATTGGTGTAATCCGTTCTTCATAAAAATGAATATTTTGTATTTTAACAGCATACACATACATGTCTCAAAAGAGAAGTGCACAACGAGAAGGCCAAGTCAAATATAACCAGCTAATAAAACTCTGAT